ACCAATTGGAAAGGCACCAACTTTGGAATTAATATTAGGGGGGGAATCTTTACAAAAGCCATACACTCATATATAAGCCATGCACTGATATGATTAATAGCAAAGAGCATTTGTTCTCTAAAGGCAAAATTACGAATGTTTTATTATTTATTCGATTTTATCGCATCTTTATTACTTTATAAAAGAGAGGGGGGGGGGTAACTGGCCCAAAGTCATCCAGCTGGCTTTCAGGCCTACAGTGGGACTAGAACTCACCATCTCCTGGTGATTGGCCCAAAGTCACCTAGCCAGCTTTCATACCTAAGGTGGTACTAGAACCCACAGATTCCTGGTTTCTAGGCCAGCACCTTAAGATACTTGGTTTCTGTGAGTTGCTACAAAAAAAATTTCAACTTTGGTTAGCCAACATTAGCAGAGGACCAACAGAGAGAAATGAAAATTCAGAGTACTTCCAACCCAAGAAAAGTCAAATCTCACTGATCTCCCTACTGCATGGAGTTCCAGAAGATCTGGTCAGACATCAGTGAATGTCCAAACTAGAATATGAATGACTTCAGCTGCACAACATGCTGAAACATGTTATTAAATTGATCCATTTTCTATTAACACTTTTAACCATTAAGTAACCAAGCAAGATTGATTCATGCAAAGGAAAAGAAGAAAGAAAATCTAACAATCTAGTTTATGCTGACTAGACTTCTCAATACTTTTCTACCTTGGCAAACCAGTCTCTCTTCAGCTCTGTGTATACACCTCTCTCTTGTTTATTTATTTTATTTATTTAGTCACTGTGTTTATACACCACCCATCTCACTGCTCCTTTTGTGTTTTGAATTTCTCTGTGGTCTCCTTTTCAGGAGCACCTCAACTCCATCCAATCACAACGTCTCATCCTTTTCCTTCTTCCCCGTTGTTTCTCTCTTCTTTCCTAGGCTGATTTTGTGATTCAGTCTTCATTTATTCCCTCTCTCACCCACTCTCCTTTCATATTGTTCTTCCCAGTTTGCACATATAGGGAGGGATGGAGGGAGGGATGCCATCATTTACGACACTATTATTACACTGTTACATTAAAAATGTTTAAATTAAAAAGCATCAATTAATCAAAATATGGCACTGAACTGTGAAATCAAATTCAACTGCCTTCAAAGTACTCTGGAAAGCGAATAATGTATTAGTCCCAGGAAGGGAATTCCACTAATTTTGGGGTTTCACTAGAAATTTCATTCCCTCTTGCCATGAATTGTGCTTTTTCAATAGAACGAAGTACAATGAACTAAGAAAATTGTGGTAACTTGAGGGCAGTTCCTCAAATAACATGGTGCAATGTATTGCAGACTGATTGAAAGGCAATATCCAAAATGGAGTCTTCATCTAAAGAGAAGGCTCAATTCTTCTCAATACCCATGATATTGTCCATTGACAGATCTTCCTCATGAACAGAACCTTCCACATCGAAGGAAAAAAGAACATTATGTGGAAGAATTAAGGTACAGTTAAAGCCCAGAATTGTGAAAATAGATGTTTAAAGTGGCTGAGAACTTCCCGGATGTATTTTTCCCCCTTATGTTTTTCAATCTGTTTTTTTCCCCTGTCACTTTAGAATTTAGCTTTAATTAACTTGGTGGGATTAATACTCCAGCACTTGCATTTGAAAGGTTTCAAACATTTATTGCATTCTTTTGTTCTGGTTCTGGTTTTGAAGAACAAACATTTTATGTAGGAAAACTCTTTTGCTTAAGATAGTTCTATCATTTCCAAAAAATATTTTGGATTCTAAATAATGCTATTGCTATGCCAAAATCAGTGTTGCAATTGCTTAAAACACTCATCCCCTTGGCAACTAAAATATGTGGATTTAAACACAGAGGTGGCTGGGCAATTCTGGGAGTAGAAGTCCACTTGTCTTAAAGTTGTCAAGGTTCAGAAACATTGTTTAAATTCTTATAGTTGCCGGGGTTAAGAAACTTTGGCTTAAAATATTTCTTTCACTTAGAAAGCTAATTCAATAGGAAAATATATTTTGTTCGTAAGTTTCTGTAATACTGTCCACATATATTTGGATGTATTTGGGGCTTGTCAAATTTGTTTGGATGTAATTGGTTTTTTTTGAAATTTGCATCACAAATTGGGCTTGTATCTACATTCAGACCTACACAGTTGATAGACCTAAAGCAGGAAAGTTATGATGAACCAAATTTATCTTCTAGATAGATAGATAGAATTCTTTATTGGCCAAGTGTGATTGGACACACAAGGAATTTGTCTTGGTGCAAATGCTCTCAGTGTACATAAAAGAAAAGATACATTCATCAAAAGTCAAGAATCATCAGGTACAATACTTAATAATAGTCACAGGGTACAATAAGCAATCAAATCATACTAGGAAACAATCAATATAAATCGTAAGGATTTATTTTGCACAGTTGAATTGAAAATTGAAAAGTCTTCTGATATTTTGTTGGCAATTGTGGCTAATATCTTCAGAGACACAATCCAAAGGCAATGGATGAGGGACTGGCTGGGTTCCTGATTTCTGATTAGTTTTCAGCTGAGCTGATTTCCAGTTGGTGCAGGCTGGTGAAGGCTGGTCTCTGATTGGTTCTTGGTTTGTGCCCAACTGTAACTAGTCATTTTTGTAATGTTAGTAGCCGATTGGTCCTTTGTTCTTGACAGCTTCTGCTTGGTCATTTTTGGAGTCCTGCTTCATGATTTGTGCTGGGTTCCAGTTTGTTAGTCTGAGTAGCTGATAAGGTTTTGATTTGCCCATGGGGTCTGGGGTGTGGGGGGAGGGCGGGGCTGGTTGGTCCTGTTCATCCATAAAAGTGTAATGATCATCAGCAATATTATGATCATATAGATATGAATGAATAATGGGGTATTAGCGGTGAGAAAGAGCCCATTTCCCATAGAAATACAGAATGTAAAGGTTGGAGATCTAAGCGACCAACTATTCAACTCTTTGCTGAATGCAAAAATAAACTATCATTTCAGTATTCAGAACGCGTTACTATATTTAAGAATAGTACTTATTTACACCATTTCTATACTTTAAAGACTCTAGCAGTTACATGTCCTTAAAACAATAAAACCGAGATATACTGTATATTAGGGGAAACAGACCCCTTTCATATTTAGTTATTCAGACTGGTCCTGTTGATTTTACAGAGTTAATGCTTATAAATCTGTTATATATTACTGACTGTATTCATAGCTGTATTAGGAAGCTTGATGGTGCAATGGTTAGTATGCAGTATTGCACTATTGCAGGCAAACTCTGCCCACAGCCAGGAGTTCAATTCTTTCAATCCTGACTGGCTCAAGATTGACTCAACCTTCCATCCTTTTGAGGTCAGTAAAAGGAGGACCCAGATGGTTGACAGCAACATGCTGACTCTGTAAACCAGTGGCCCCCAACCTTTTTTGTACCACAGCCCGGTACAAAATGTACAAAATGATCCATGGACCGGTACCGGCATCAGCACACACGACCAAGGCAAGGCGAGCCAAGCGACCGGCCAGCCAGCTGTCCCCCGCTTCTCCCCGCCACCTTCAACTCCTCCTTTGTACCTTCTCGCGGTCGATGGGCTTTTCGGGCTCTTTCTTAATCTCCTCCTGAGTAACGCGAGACTCCACCGCCATCGGGACGGCTCTTCGTTCGAAGCCGCCCCCCCCTCTTCGACGAAACTAAGGCGCGAGGATTCCTTCAGCACCCAAATGCCGCTTTCCAACCAACGACCGACAAACTTACCCGGAAGCACTTTCTCAAGCACCGTCGAAACAAGATGGTGGCGCCCAAGCAAAATAGGCGACCCGGTACAAAATGATCCACGGACCAGTACCAGTCTGGGGCCCGGTGGTTGAGGACCACTGCTGTAAACCTCTTAGAGAGAGCTATAAAGCACTACGAAGCACTAGAAAGCATATAAAGTCTAAGTGCTGTTCAGGGGTGGGCTTCAAAAATTTTAGCTACAGGTTCTCTGCTTGGTTGCTGTGTTGGCGTGACCATGGTGGGTGTGGCCTAGTCAGCCTCCTGCACCACGGCATTGGGGGGGCCACCCTTTTGCCTTCCTCGGGCTCCAGAGGCTCTCTGGAAGCCGGAAGTTCAGGAAGGCCCATTTCTGGTCTTCCTGACCTTCCGCAAGGCCTGTTTCTTGTTCTCCCTGAGCCTCCGTGCGCATCCTGCACTTACCCCAAAACAGGCCGCGTGGGGACTCCTGGGAGGGGAGGGGTAGGCAGGGCCAGCCAGGAGTGGGAATTTTTTTTGGAGGGGGGGTTCTCTGAACTGCACAGAATCTTAGCTAGGGGCTCTCCCGAACCCCTGCGAACCCCCAGCAGCCCAGCCCTGGTGCTCTTCCTATTCTACAGTGTTTTGCTACATTTTTCTATTTTCTTTCGCTTTATTTGATCAACTTAAAGTTTTTCCCTTTCTTCAAAAAAACCAAGCTGAATTCCTTTTGGTCTGATCTGCCTTTCCACTTTCTTGACAGGATGTGTTCAGACAGTTGCAATTCTCGGTCCCATTTTGGGGTTTCTTTTGGGATCCTTGTATGCCAAGCTGTATGTGGACATTGGCTTCGTAGACATGGGTGAACATGAATGGCAGTCTTTGTTACAAGTCAAAATGCCCACGTTATTTTTGACCAAGACACCAAAATCAAACCACAGACTATGAAAACAAGGCATGGATAAAGGTTTCTTCTGAAGCTGCAATGGGAAAAAGGCATAACACTACAGCGAGTTTGTCCCTCCAAAAAGGCAATAACACCATTGTGGGTGTGATCTTGGTATCAAAATAGGTGAGACCAGCAGGAAAACGTAGAAAGAAAAATCCCCCAGATCATAGAATAACAGAATTGGAAGGGACCTTGGAGGTCTTCTAGTCCAGCCCCCTGCTCAAGCAGGCGAACCTATATCATTCCAGACAAATGGTCATCCAATCTCTTCTTAAAAACCTCCATGGATGAAGCGAGCACCCACAACTTCTGAAGGCAAGCCATTCCACTGGTTAATTGTGCTAGCTGACAGGAATTCTTGCCTCCATATTAAAGGAGAAAAACTCCATTAAATGGAAATTGTAATTTGCCAGAAAATGATGGTACCAAACCACATTGCCAGAATTAAAGTATGCGATCGGGAAGGTTTTAAGCAGTACAAAAAGAGCAATGTAAGATCCATTCACTGCCCAGACTACCTTAATCCACATCTACTCAATATTAAAAATCATGTTGCCATTTAATAATTAAAACTGATTTTAAAAAAAACAACAACCCTTCATTTCTCTTCTTAGGCACCCTAGCCATCACTCACAAAGACCCACACTGGGGAGGAGCTTGGTGGCTTGGCTACTTAATTGCTGGGGTGGTTAGCATCCTTGCTGCAATCCCCTTCTGGTTCTTACCCAAGCATCTTCCAAGGCCTGAGATCTGAAAAGATTCTACTGAGCAATCCAGGTTCATTGCAGAAGAGAACAAGGACTGTTGTGCCACTTGCCAAACCCACTTCAATTTTTTCAAGATGGCAAAAGGTGAGGGAATCTGGCTAATTAACAGATGCATTGTTGGACACTTCGATAGTCATTGTCTACATCACTAGTTTGATAATTTGGAAAACTAGTTGGAGAGCCAGCTTGCTCTAGTGGTTAAGGCACAAGACTAGAAAGAAGGAGTCTGTGAGTTCTAGTCCCATCTTAGATATGAAAGCCAGTTGAGTGACTTTGGACCAGTCACCAGGAG